TCAAAACGAAAGCTTGTCCATTGCAGTTCTCGCGAGAAGACGCCCGCAAATTCCCCCGCGCGCAGGGCGGCCCGCGATGGGTTATTCCGCGGGCAAATAACCCCCCCGAACATCATCCAGCCCGCCCGACAAAAAAGGGCCACAAGTCCCCGCGGCGATATCAGCGACCGCGGCGACGGCCTCGCTGTCGTAGTCGTCTGCGTCGGCGTCGTCGTCGCGGGTCTTGTCCTTCTCGAATATCTCGGCCTCAGCGCTGTTCTTGCTCAGCAGGAGTTCTGCCGCCAGCGCTGGGCGGGCGAGTCCGAGCGAGCGTGCGAATCTGAACGAGGCGCAATTCCATTGCATGCCCCGCGAGAAGATGCCCGCAAATCCCCCCGCGCGCAGGGCTGCCCGCAACGGGTTCTCGCGCCGGAAAAAATCCCCAAAACGTTATGCAGCCCGCCCAACAATAGCGGGAAACTGATCCCGTGTCGCCGCCTTCGCCGACCAGGCGCCGGCGGGAGTTCCGCCGGCAATGCTGGGCAGGCGATTTTGAGCAAAGACGTCACTTAATTTCATAATCCGCTCGGCCACCGCCGAGGAGTCGCTTTTCATGCTCAGACAACCGTGATAATGCTTACGACTGGAAATGTCGGAAAACGAATGTTTACGTCAGCATCGAATCGGTCACAATTGCGGGTTCATCTTTGTATTCAAGCCAACGTTGAAGATCCGATGTTAACTTCAGACTCCAATCGATCACCTTTAAGTATCCATGTTAGTTCCCCGCCCACGGGGTGGCTTCTCCATTGCGGGCGATGCTGAACTCGCCGCGCACGCGCGCCCGCGCGCGCGCGATCGGGTGGCCCGCGCACTGGCGGGGCGGGTCGCGGATCCGGTTGGTCACCCTTGCAGGTTGATTTTGGTTGCCAGGCCAGCGTGGCGAGTTTTGCATCGTCCAGGAGGAATGGTCGCCATGCCAGCCTGGGAAATAGAGTGATCCCGCGACGGTGGCCGATGCGATTTCGGGGGTAATGCGCGTTTTAAAAGGTTTTCTAATTTAGAGAAGTCGCCAGAAACAATGGCGATGAAAGGGCCAGGCCCGATGCTCAGGCTGCGCTAGTTTAGGCGACTCAAGAGAGCCTCATGGCTTCAGCTTTGAGCCGCGATGGCAACCCCGCATCGCGCTCTCATGCGCAAGGGTCTGGCCCTCGCAGGAGCAACTCTGTCATGTATTTCACCATATTGTCTCTGCTCTTTCTCCTCCTCCTCTCCCCCCATTCTTTTCTCCCCCTTCCCCCCCCCCCCCCTCCTCCCTCGCAAGCGTCGCCGTCGCCCCCCCCCCCCCCCCCCCCCCCCCTTGCGGGGCTAGCGCGGGGGGGCCGAGGGCCGCTGTTCTCTGGGCGGGGGGGGGGGGGGGCGACGTTATCCAGCCCGCCCAACGACAGGGGGAAGTGGATCTCCGCCGCGACGAAGGCGCTCTAGGCCCAGTCATCTCATTCGCCGCCGAGAGGAAAGGAAGGGAAGGGGTGGAAACACTACCCCCCCCCCCCGCCCCCCGAGGTCACCCCGCCCCGCGCGCTTTGCGCGACGGCGGGGTGAGTCTCGGGATGGCTGGGCGATCGCGCGGCCGCGCGTTCTGCGGCCCCAGCGGCGGGGTCGGCTGGCACAGGGCGTCCGCGAGGTTGCGCTTCGAATTCCACGAGGTCGGGTAGATTCGAGTCTTTTTTAAATATTCCTCCTCCTCCTCCACTTTCCTCCTGCTCTCGTCCTCTCTCTCTCTCTCTCTCTCTCTCTCTCTCTCTCTCTCTCTCGCTCTCTCTGCCTCTCTCTCCCCTCTCTCTCTCCCTCTCTCTATCTCTCTCTCTCTCTCCTCTCTTTTCTCTCTCTTTCTCTCTCTTTCTCTCTCTCTCTCTCATTCTCTCTCTCTCTCTCTCTCTCTCTCTCTCTCTTCTCTTTCTTTTTTTTTCTCTCTCTCTCTCTCTCTCTCTCTCTCTCTCTCTCTCTCTCCTCTCTCTCCTCTTTATTTTTTCTCTTTCTCTATCTCTCTCTCTTTCTCTTTCTGTTTTTTTTGTTCTCTCTCTCTCTCTCTCTCTCTCCTCTCTCTCTCTCTCTTCTCTCTCTTTCTCCCCCCCCCCTTCCCCCCCCATGCCCCCCCCCCCCCCCCCCCCCCGCGAGGCCGGCCTAGCTCTCGGCGCGACGCCGATCCCCCCGAGAGCGGGCGACGCTGAACGCCGTCGCTCGCGCGCCCGCGCGCTTGCCCAACCTTGAGCGGCAAGTTTACATCGCGCTCGATGAAGGGCCAGGGCCCCCGAAAAGACATATCTTACACGCTGGGCCCTCGACCGCCCCGACCCCCCGTTCCCCCCCCCCCCCCGCCCCTCGCGGGGGCAGGCTCAGGAGGCCCCGGGAGGGCCTGAGATGCCCGTGTCTGGAGGTTCCCGGGAGGGCCGAGGAGGCCCTGGCATCGCCTCCTGGCATTCGGGAGATGCTCCGCGCCTAGTGGGAGAGGTGCGAGGGGGGCTTCCTGCCGACCCCCCCTTGGCTTCCAGACTCTTCCGAGCCCTCGCCGTCGAAGCTCCGCCGCGGCGCAATTTTGCGACCCCGCTCGAGATCGGCGTCGATAGGCCGCTGACCAGTGGCGCGGCCGACGCGATCGTCGGGCGGGTTTTTCTCAGTGCGGACGGGCTGGGGAGGGCATAATATCCGCGCGTTTGCGGGCATATGAGGCTGGCCGCATTGTCGGCGGGGAAGGGCCCTTCTAGTTGGCGTCATTCGGGCCGCGCCCGGCACGCCCATGGCGCGGCGCGGGCCAAGGCCCTCCGGGCCCCTGCGTCCACGGCCCTGCCCGGGGTCACGCCGCTGAAGGCAGAGTGCATCATCGAACGCGGCGGCTCTAGCCCGCCTGGGGCCAAGCCTGGGAGAATCGCCGGGGCGCGCGCAAAACGCGGGGCCGGCGACAGCCGCGCCGGCCAGGTATCCAGCCAGGGCATATCCGGGCGCGCTGCGTCGGTTCTTGCCGCGCAGGTCATGGGGGCGGGGGCGGCTGGGGAGGGCGCGAGCCGCTGCGTGGCCGAGCGCAACCGTTTCCGACGCGTTTTCGCGGAGCCGCGGGGGATGCGTCGCGGCGACGCGCGTCGCGCATCGAGAGGTGCGCGTCGCGCGAGGAGCGGGCGCTTCTCTGGGGGCCCACTCAGACAGAGTTCGCGCACCCACGAAGGGCGCCATCGATGTTTTGGCGAAGGATGTCGCGGACAACGCGTTCGCGGCCACGGCCTCCACCGAGGGCCACCCTGGGCCCTTGGTTTTCGGACGGGCCCGGTCTGCGCGGCAGGGCCGCGGCGGCTGCGCGGGCGAGAGGGGGGCCCCAGCGCGCGCAGGTGGACAGACGCAGAAACGACCACGAGAGGGAACATCGCTCATAATTGGTTGCTGGCCGTTCGTTTTGACGGGGCCCATGCGCTGCCAGATGTTGCCCGGCGAGAGAACTAATCGAGCGTGCCCCGAAGACAACGAACTGCTCAAATTTTGGCGCCTGGCGGCAGTCAGGTTGAAAATCACCAGCGATATCGATGGCGTCTTCTAAGTTGGCGCCAGGGCCCCAGCTCAGGCCGCGCGACCAGGGGCCGCTGCAGGGGCTGCGTTGATGGAGCCAGATCCTGCTCACAGCCTGTGCCTGCGTGGGACTCGCGCGCATTTCAGCCTGCTGAGCCATGTGCGCCCCGAATCCGCCCCGACGCCGCGCCCGGCCCCCGCCTCGCTTGACGCGAACTGCTTTTGAATATCAGTAGGGCGCGTTTCTCCGCCGCGCCAATGTTTGCCGCGGCGGGCGGAGATGTCCGGAAGGCGCCCCGCGTCGGGCGCGCGGTTCAGGCGAATGACTATCGCTGGACGCATCGCTGAACTTCACGATCTTTGCTTTTCATTTTCAACGCGAAAATGTGGGATCATAGAGTTCATCCATGCGTTCCCGTTTTATTTGGGAGCTGGCCTCCCATCTGCGCGGCTGTTGCGCAACGCGGCGGTCGCGGTGACTAAATCTGCGGAAGCGCAAAACGTGAGGCCGATTGTAAACTGCGGCCACCTTCCGTCCGCCCAAGCGTCACAAATTGTTCGCCGTCTGGCCACAAAATTCGAGGAAGTCTTCCGCGAGACCCACAGTTTGAAACACTTCTGTCCTCAACCCGGAAAGTTGTCCCAACCTGTGCGGGCGAATGTGCGCGGCGTTGATGCGAAAACATAACATTGGACGCAGACCGCCCTCCTTAATGGTAGATGTTGCAGAAGTTCAAACCGAGGTGGCGCGATTTTGGACAGCACCATGTTGAAACGAAACCGCCCTCCATCCTTGTGGATGTTGCGGGCTTGTCCGACGAGGGCAGTCGGCGCTGCGCTGGGAGTTCCAAGTTTGACCCCCGACCCTCTCTATGATTTTCTGACGGCTGCAGCTTGTAAGACGCACGCACGCGGTGCTACGGCGAAAATCCGATCCGGAAGACGCGTACGTTGCACATGATTAAACACCGAATCTGCTCGGCGTTGGGCCAACCGTTTTATTCTGAAAACGACCCCCGCTTCCATCCGCGCAAGTGTTGGTCACTCCGATTTTCAAAAACCGAAACGCAACGAATTCCGAATGCTCCGGCGAAGCGCTGGACCCGCCTTGTTGGTAAATCTGGGGCGCGACGGATATGATATGATATGATATGATATGATATGATATGATATGATCTGATATATATATATATATATATATATATATATATATATATATATCGGTATATATATATATAACGGAAAGAGCCAGGGGGGGTCACGACTTGGGGAGGATGCTGAGACGATGAGGAAGAACAGGACTATCAGCAGGTGGGCGAACAAGAGGTTGCGCAAGAGGGGGACGAGGAGGAGGAGGAGGAGGAGGATCAGTTGCAGGAGAAGCAGGAGGAACAGGAGGGGGGAAGGAGCCTCGAACGTCGAGCCTCCATTGATCGATCGACGACGACAGCGCCGCGAGCGCCGAGGACGCGGACGCGACCGCCCCAGAACCCGGCGAACAGCTGCTGCCCCCAGGCGCGGACGTGGCCGACGAGGAGCCGCCACTGGTCGAGGCCGACGACCTGTCGGAGGCGCCAAGGGGAGGGGGTTTCTAATGAATCCCAGCTGGGCGTGGGAGGCAACGGGGGGAACGAAGTTTCGGGGTCCGAGGTTTTCACATGCTTTCGTTGATTCTCGGCGATTCTCCAGCTTCAGGATGCCTTCAGCAGCTGCGCCTCTTCGAAAGTGTTTGGGCGGTGCCCGGATCGTCCCGAAAAACCGGTGGAGACCCGAATGATGACCCGAAAACCACGGGACAATGCTAGTTGGGGGTGGTTCCAGAGGGAGATGCGTCGCTCCCACCCGATCGCCGACATGGGCCCGATAGCGCCTGCCCGCCCAGGACCGTGCAGTTTCTGCCTGCGAGGGCCTGTCGCCGATCTATCGGCTAGGTCACCCCGTAACGTTTGCCCTCGTTGTAACGGAGGGCATGGCGGCCTCAATCCTCGACTGTGTGGGACTCTTCGAGTGGAAAACAGATGTGGAGCTTACGGCGGAGGGGGTATCCATCCTCGATGCGCAGGGAGACGTCGGAATTGCCGCTCAGACCTGTATCCTGGAATTCCAATGTATTGCCCAGCGGCCAGCCTTGTTGGTGGGAGCTGGAAGACTTTGGGAAGGAAATCGCCTGCGACTCTCCGGCTAAGCGTCAGCGAGGACGGAAAGGCTTTGCTGGGCGTTCGCTCTCGGGCGTTATCGTCGGTGCTAGTTTATTTTCTTGATTCGGTGTGCGCTCCAGCAGCTGCGCCGCTGCGCCTCGCCAGGAGCGTTCCGGGAGTGCCCGAATCATCCCGACGTGCCGCCGCTGATCAGAATTACGACCCTCGATGAATTGAGGTGTTTCTACGTTTCTGGTCCTTTCGTGGCCTCCAGGGGGCGCCATCGTGGCCTCGGTTGGATCCGCTTTGAAGTTTTGGCGAGGACGCATCCCGCAAGAGTTCTTAGGCGTCCTCTCCTCCTTTCCTTTTCTTTTCCCTCCTCCTATTGGTTCTCGCGGCGAGAGCTGGTGCCCAAGCCCGACATTCGGCCAGTTGTGCCGCGCAGGAACTAGCCGAAGGGTGGCGTCCTTGTTGTTGGGGGGGGGACCGCCTCGTCGCCAGAGAACGACCGTTTCTCGTCGGATAGGCCACCCCGCAGCTTCCCCTCTTTCTCTCCTCGGACTCGTCCCTCGGAGGGTAGTGAACCTCCTCCTCCTCATCCTCCTCCTCCTCCTCCTCCCCCTCCTCCCATTCCTTCATCGCGACTCCGACTGCTCTCGCGCGCCGGTGACCATCGATTGAACATGCAGGGCATACAGATCCGCCGTGAACTTAGGGCTGAACATCAGGCCTCGCCCTCCCGCCGCGGCGACCTCGATGCCCATCTGAGGTTCACTCGAGCTGCCAAGCCGGCTGGCCATTGGCGCCAGCCACTGAGGTGTTGCAAACTGCCACCGTGCACGTGCGCTCTTCCCTTTCCTCCTCCCTCCTCTTATTGCTCCTCCGCCTCCCTCTTCTTCCCTGTGATCCCCCCCTCCTCCCGCTCCCCCCATCGCTTCCCTTTCCGCCTCTTCCTGCCCCTCTCTGCCCCAGGCCCCCTGAACCGTCAAACAATGTTGCAGGATGAAAAGGACGTCTTAGGGGAAGGACCCGGGTCCAGGTCCCGTTTCCGTCATGCCAGCTCGGAGGGTCGAAGTTGGAGGGTGAAGGATTTGGAAAAACGTCACTCTTGGGGGCATCCAAGCTCCCAGAGGCTTCCGCAGACCTCGGGAGACCTTTGACGGCCTCTGGAACGCTCTTGGGCACATGCAGGCATGATGTATACATATAACGGCGCACCGGGTCCGGGGGCCCGGGGCCGGGACCTCGACCACAAATTTGGGCTCCGGGGGGCCCGGAGGCTCGTCGGGGCTTGCCGGAGGCCTCCCCGGTCAGACAAGACGGCCCCAGGAGCGCCCAAGACGGCCCAAGAAACTTCCAAGAGGCCTCCAAGAGGGCTCCGAGATGCTGAAGATGGCCTCCAGACGTCCAAGGACGCCCCAAGAGGCCCCAAGAAGCCTCCAAGACGGTTCCCAAAGACGGGCCCCAAGACGGCCCAAGAGGCCCCCAAGAGGGCCCCATGGCCCAAGAGGGCCCCAAGACGGGCCCAAGAGGGGGCCCAGAGGGGGACCACGAACCGCAAGCTCGAGCCTTCCGCCCCAAGAGGCCGCCAGGAGGCCCCCAGGAGGCCCCTCAAGAGGCCCCAGGAGACCCCAGACGTCCAAGGACGCCCCCAAGAGGCCCCAAGAAGCCTCCAACATGCGTCCCAAGAGGGCCCCTAGACGCAAACATTGACCCATTCCCTTCGTAAAACGTACGTTTTCAACAAAGTCGCCTTTTGGGCTTTCCGACGTTACAGGACGGCCCAAGAGGCGCCCAAGACCGCCCCAAGACGGCCCAAGAAGCTTCCAAGAGGGCCCCAGGACAGCCCAAGAGGGCCCCAAGACGGCCCAAGAGGCGCCCAAGATGGCCCAAGAGGGCCCCAAGACGGGCCCAAGAGGGGGCCCAGAGGGGGACCACGAACCGCAAGCTCGAGCCTTCCGCCCCAAGAGGCCGCCAGGAGGCCCCCAGGAGGCCCCTCAAGAGGCCCCAGGAGACCCCAGACGTCCAAGGACGCCCCCAAGAGGCCCCAAGAAGCCTCCAACATGCGTCCCAAGAGGGCCCCTAGACGCAAAAATTGGCCCATTCCCTTCGTAAAACGTACATTTTCAACAAAGTTGTCTTTTGGGCTTTCCGACGTTACAGGACGGCCCAAGAGGCGCCCAAGACCGCCCCAAGACGGCCCAAGAAGCTTCCAAGAGGGCCCCAGGACAGCCCAAGAGGGCCCCAAGACGGCCCAAGAGGCGCCCAAGATGGCCCAAGAGGGCCCCAAGACGGGCCCAAGAGGGGGCCCAGAGGGGGACCACGAACCGCAAGCTCGAGCCTTCCGCCCCAAGAGGCCGCCAGGAGGCCCCCAGGAGGCCCCTCAAGAGGCCCCAGGAGACCCCAGACGTCCAAGGACGCCCCCAAGAGGCCCCAAGAAGCCTCCAACATGCGTCCCAAGAGGGCCCCTAGACGCAAAAATTGGCCCATTCCCTTCGTAAAACGTACATTTTCAACAAAGTTGTCTTTTGGGCTTTCCGACGTTACAGGACGGCCCAAGAGGCGCCCAAGACCGCCCCAAGACGGCCCAAGAAGCTTCCAAGAGGGCCCCAGGACAGCCCAAGAGGGCCCCAAGACGGCCCAAGAGGCGCCCAAGATGGCCCAAGAGGGCCCCAAGACGGGCCCAAGAGGGGGCCCAGAGGGGGACCACGAACCGCAAGCTCGAGCCTTCCGCCCCAAGAGGCCGCCAGGAGGCCCCCAGGAGGCCCCTCAAGAGGCCCCAGGAGACCCCAGACGTCCAAGGACGCCCCCACGACGCTTCGCGTCACCAATTTCTTCTCACAACGATTCCTGGGTCTGTGACTCGACAGAACCTAAGCGCGCGCGAAGCGCGCGCGTGGTTCTAGTACATATGTATTTACATGAAACATGTAGGCAGACGCGCACACATACACACACACATAGATACCTGCGTAGGTACATATATATACACACATATATATATATATATGTGTGTACACACATGTCTTCATACAGGTGTATCTCACTATTTGGGGTGAAGGCGGGTCCCGAAGCCCTGGATCCAACCACTTTTTCACTGTTTGGAGTTGCAGGGTTTTATTCGCTGGCCTTCGCCAGCGAAGCCGCCCGCGTGTTGCTTCTGCCAGCCTTCCGTCGCCTTGAGTGCGCCATATGTGTGCGTGTATACATATATATATATGTATATATATACACATATATAGAGATACATACATATATACATACATACATCTGCATATATATCTGCATGTACATAGATAACATACGTATACATATACACATGCATATACATATACATATACATATACATATACATATACATATACACATACATATACATATACATATACATATACATGAACATTTATATGCATATATATATATACATACACATACACATATACATATACATATACATATACATATACATATACATATACATATACATATACATACACATGTACATATACGTATACATGTGTGTGCGTTTTTTTTGTTCGCGGTTTGTGGTTCAACCTCGGGCATTTCCCCGAAGTGTCGGCTTTCGGCGATTTCTTTCTCGCGCCTCGCGAGGCCATCACACACATCTCCAGGCCGAAAACCTGCACCCCGGGGATCTTGTCGGAGGCCAGGGTTCAGACCTCCAATGGCTTGAATGAATTCAGCCCGAGGCATCTCACACACCAACAGTTCAAGGCTTGAACAAATCAATTATGGGCCTTCGGGAACCGGCCCACTCCACGGATCGATTCGGCCCGCTAGATCCCGCAGAAAGATTGGTCTTGAGAGGTCTCAGGTCGCGGATTCTTTGCGATGTGCAACCCCCCGAGGCCCCGGTGCTCGCAGCTCGGCTGCTGCTGCGCGGTTGCCACGGCGCCGTCTCCGAGGACTTGCACGACGACGACGACGACGACGACGACGACGACGACGACGACGACGACGACTACGACGACGACGACTACGACGACCACGACGTCCACGACGACGACGACGACAAATACGACAAAGACAATAAAGACGACATGGTTGAGGACCACGACCACGACAACGACAGCGAGGAGGACGACGGCCACGAGGCCGACAACGGCCACGACGACGAGGACGACCACAATGACGGCGTCAAGGATGACGACGACGACGACGACGACGAGGCCGACGACAACAACGACTACGACGACGAATAGGACGGAGATGATGACGAGGACGAGAAGATCGACGACCGACGTCGTCCAGAGGTCTCTGGAGGTCCCATGAAGTCCAAGGCCCCGAGGTCCAGAAACGTCCCCACCAACTCTCGATCGAGCGAATTTCGAGCCTCTGGTGATCCAAGCTCGATGGACCGATCTGTCGCGGCGTGAACCGATGAGTGGAGGAACGCATCGATCGGTGCGTCCAGGCCAGAATCTCGGAGCGAATCCGGCCGTGGCCACGAGGGCGCCCCTGGATGTCCAGGACAGACCGAGATGACGTCAAAAACAGCGAGATCCTCGACCCCCGGGTCCTCGAGCAACGGACGGCGGCGGTCGGCGCCCTCCTGCCCCATCGACCCCGGGTGTTATCCTAGATCGCGCCCTGGCGAGCATTGCAAGGTGGATCCGGCAGTGGGAACGAGCGCCTTCGAGAACTCCCGAAACCCTCGCAGCGATGACGACGACATCGGCAGCGGCGGCGACGACGAAGACGACGACGACGACGGCGACGGCGATGACGGCGACGACGACGGAAACGGCGGCGGTGGCGGCCGCGACGGCGACGACGACGAGGGCCGACTCCGCCGTCGGCGGCGGCGGTGGCGACGACGACGACGCCTGCGAGGACCTGCCCGTTTGCCTCCTCGACCTCGGTGCCGTGGAGCGGCGGGCGGACCTCTGGCGTCGCCTGCTGCCGCGCGTCGAGCCGTTCCCCTCGCGGGGGCCAATACTTCGACCCCATCGCAGACTTCTGCCGTTTTCTCCCGCCCGACAGGTTGGGGTTGGAGCCAGCCCTGGCGGCGCGCAAAAGGGGGTAGGGGCAGGGGGGAAGGCTTCTTAGAAGCACCCTGCTTCTTAGAAGGCCTCGGCCTTACGTCTATAGAGAAGGCCCGCGCCTTCTAAGAAGCAGGGGTGCTTCTAAGAAGGCTCCCCCCCTCCCCCTACCCCCCTCTGCGCGCCGCCAACAGCCAGGGGTCCGAGATGGCCCAGCACTGGTTCCGGCGAGCACGAAGGGGGGTTCGAGGGCTCGGGGGCCCGCGTGTCGCCTCTGTCGGCCTCCGGGGCCGTGGTCGGGGCCCGGGGCAGTCACGAGCGGGGGGGGCCGGTTTTAAGGCGGGCCTGTCCCTCTACAGGGGGAAGATTCAAACATAGTAAAAAAATAGTCTGGGGATTATTTTTGTTTGCATTGTTTGCTCATTTGGGGGTATTTTTAGGGGTATTTTTCATTCTTCGCCCACAATCCGCCTGTAGGGGGACAAGCCCGACCTAAGGCCAGTTGTCCCAGATGGATCCCAGGAGGGGTCCCAGAACCGATTTTGAACGGGCTTGGCATCATACCCCCTTCCTCATCGATTTTCTGGGGCCCCAACCAGTTCAGACCTCTGGACCGCCTTCAACCGACAGGTTGGGGCTGTTAGGGTTAAGTCGGGCCTGTCCCTCTGCAGGAGGAATATTCAAGAGCAGTACAACAGTAGTTTGGGGACCATGTTTATTGCATGTTTTGACTATTGGGGTGCTTTTTTTTGCGTATGGGTATTTTTTCGCCCACCCTGCACGGGGGCATGGCCGACCTAGTGTTAGGGCTCCTAGGGAAGGGCCCCCGACCCGCCTCGCACACCCTGCATTCATTAACGGGCGAAGAACGGTATAACATAAACTTTTTCGCTGTCGGGGGCGCCTGCCGCTGGGCGGCTGGAAAGTTTATACCCCTACGGTGCCACCGTGAGGGTATAAATTTTCCAGCCGCCCAGGGGCAGGTGTCCCCGACGGCGAAAAAGTTTATGTTATACCGTTCTTCGCCTGTTAAATTCAGGGACTGCCCCGCCCAGAGTGCGCTGGCCCTCCCCGGGGATCCCGCCTCGTGCCCTCGACGCCCGACGACTGCGAGCCGCGGCTGCCAGGCCCCAGGGTGTGCCGATGCTCCCTGGGAGTCCCGCCTCCCCTTCTCTCAGGCAGTGGCGGAGCGTCCTTCAGGAGGGACAAAAAAACACACAGACACAATTTATCGTCGATCCCCCAGAAAAGATAGGAAAAGATGGGAAGTGGTGGGGAAGATAAAAACCCAGAAAATACAGGAAAATATGGGGACTCCTGTCGTTTGTGTGTATTTATCTGTGTGTCCCAGGGCCCCTTCAGTCCTGGCGTGCCTAGAGGCCTGCCAGGCAATGGTTCTCAGAACCTTCTGTGGTTTCCACGAATCGTTCTTGGGACATTTCTGGGTGAGACTGTCTTGTTTTAACACACCGGGTGAATGTTCTAAGAGCATCCTTTCTGTTCTTAGAGCATGCTTGGTTCTAAGAACCTGCCATGTTAGGACTGTAGGAATGCCGGGGCGGCCGGTCCCTGCAACACACTGGGTGAATGTTATAAGAGCATCCTTTCTGGTCTTAGAACATTGCTGGTTCTAAGAACCTGCCGTGGTAGGACTGTAGGAGTGCCGGGACGGTCGGCCCCTGCTCAATTCTCGGGCGGTGCCCCTTGGAAGCAAAGAAGCAAGCTACCTGTTCGTTGCATTGTTGGCGTGCATTCTGTCATTTTGCTGAGCAATATCCATTGTTCTGGCGCCGATTTGAGCTTGTTGATTCCACGCGGTATGGGCATCTAACTTCGTTTTCAGATGAAGCGTTTCAGATGTAAGGTTTCTTTTATATCGGCATCCTGGAGACATCTTCGGGCCCAGGGCATGAACACATTGATGCGGAGCTGGAAATTGCCCCGTGCGAAGAGGTCGAGAAGACTGCCGTCCGCGGCTTGGGCAGATCAATCCATCGAGAGTCTGGGTTCGAGCCCTTCGAGGATCGAGGAGGATCGCGGTCCTACCTCGTCTTGACGTTTTGGGATTTTGTGGGGGCCTTTGAGAGGCTTCTCGTCGCCCACCCAGGGACCAGTTCGGGGAGAGGCTTTTTACTACCTTAAGCCCTTGACCTCCGACGAGAAAGAGAGACATCGCGGACAAAAAATGTCTAGAGAACGAGAACGATCGGGGACAAAACATTCTCGCCAGCCAACCTTTGATCCAGATGTCGAGCGAATTGCTAAAGTAACCCGTCGTGTTGTCCGTCATGTGTGGCATTTGGCGACGTTCTTTCGGCTCCAGAACCGTGCAGCACGATGCGGCATGAAAACGGGTTCGACTGGGTCGAGATGTCTGGTCACGAGATGTCGCGGGGGCGTGGAGGCTCGCGGAGGTTTTGGACGTCTCTCGCACTTGTTTTTGTCTCTGGATGTCAACTGAAGTGGGCAAACACCCTCGCAGACCTCGCCTTTGGAGTGAGACGTCCGGGGGCTTCTTGGCGTCGATGGGAGCAGCAGGGTGATTTCAACTGGTGGCTCCAACGTCTGAAGTTCTTGCTGGCGTCAATGGCATGCCATCGTGGCCACAGCTGTACACAGCTCCAAAATTTGCCCCGCACGGTGTTCGCGGACCCAGACCCCCGACATCGTGTTTTTTTCATGACGCGGGCCCCCGAAGTTGGCCCCCTTCTCCGGGACTCCCGAGCCCTTTTGTGACAGTCTCGCTGGCCGGGAAGGGCCCCCGGGCCTAAAATCGTGAAAGCACCTTCCGTCCTGGCGGTTTCCTGGCCCGACCGCGGGGCCCCGGGATGGCTTGTGGAGACCAGCGCGGGGAGGGGCTCAGACCTCCTCGTGCCCCCCCGCCCTGGGGGCAGTCCAGGAGGGGCGGCCCTCCGCGACAGGAAGCCGACTCGGAGACGGGGTCGAGGCTCGAGGGGGGGCCGCATCATGGAAGGACCTGTCTTCTTCTTGCCGCAGCTCAGAGGGGGAAAAGGCACCCATGAAGCTGCACTTCGCTCGCCTTCGTCTTTTTGTGGGCCTCCTGGGAGGCCCCCGTCGCCTCGGCGGAGTGTGCTTCGAAGTCTTGGTCAGAACGCATCCTGGCCCGGGAGGGATCCGGGAAGCAGCGGCATCGGTATTTTCTGCTTCCCCAGCAGCGATGGCGACCGCGCATGGCGTCCGTCGCCGGAGTCGAAGGAGAGAGGCCACGACGTCGGGGCTCCCGCGGGCAGCCCCTGCCGGGGCCAGGGCAGCTCGGGCCCCCAAGATCCCGCATCGTTCCTCGCCTCGCCGAGGCTATCGGCGTGACCACGCAGCGCAGAACCAGATGTCCTCCCCGGCGGCGTCGATGCATCGGCGACGAGGCGGTGCGATCTTGGGACCTCCTTTGCCGTGCGGAGCGTTGTCTCCACAACGCTTCGGCGCCCCACGCTGAAGCACGTCCCGCCCCCCAAGCATCAACCGCTCCCAGGCTTTTCCCAGCCTCCCGTTCCACGAGGCTGAGCGACACACCATCAGCGTGCAAGGCATGGCGTGTCGCAGGGGCCGCCGACGCGACACGCGGAGCAAGAGGTCCCGACCGTAAACTTTCTGGCCCAAACCTTCCAGGAAGCCTCCAACCGTGGAGCTTTTGCTGGGGGTCCGAAGTGGTCGGTGTCTGCTCCAAAGCACTGTGCAGAGAGGGCGGACGTGCCCTGTGCGTGCACACTTCGAGCCCCCTCCCCCCGCTGGGCTGCCTCCCTTTCTCCAGACGGCATCGCAGGCCGAGCATGCCCCCCCCCCCTAAACGGTTCCCCCCCCCAGCCCCCCACCCCCCCTGATCGGCTCCGCCGGCGCCCCTCCAGCGCAGGCCCTCCGGCCGCCTCAAACTCCAGCCCGGCCCGGACCCCCCCCTCGCCTTCGCCTCCGCCCCGCCGCCAGGTTCTACGCGGTGAAGTGCAATCCGGACCCGGCACTGCTCAGGGCGCTCTTCGCGAAGTGGCAGGACCAGTGCTGCCCGTGCCTCCTCCTCCTCCTCCTCCTCCTCCTCCTCCTCCTCCTCCGCCTCCTCCTCCTCGCTCCTCCCTCTCCTCCCTCCTTCTCCTCCCCTCCTCTCCTCCTCCTCCTCCTCCCTCCTCCTCCTCCTCCGCCTTCTCCTCCCCCTCCGCCTCCTCCTCCTCCTCCTCCTCCTCCTCCGCCTCCTCCTCCTCCGCCGACCGCGGCGCCGTCTTTTTCGGGGCGTCCGTGCACACGGCGGCTTGGCCCCAGAGTGGGGCGAGGGAACGAGTCCGCCTGGAAGCCGAGCTTGGAGCTGTCCTTGATCCAGGGGCCGCGCAGAGCGCTTCTTCTCGAGCCTCGAGCCTCCTCCTCCTCCTCCTCCTCCTCCTCCTCCGACGACGACGACGACGAAACGAAACGGGTCCCTCGGGGCTTCCCCCAGGACCAGCTCGTCATCCTGGGTCGCCTTTCGACGGTCCTGGGACCGGCGGACTGTCCCAGTGGCTCGAGAAGGGGACACATTCCCAGGGACCGTGTCCTTCAGGATCCGCTTCCTTCATGCTGGTTCCCCAAGCAGTGCTTGCTTTGGGGGCGTCATGTTTTGTCAAAAGGAACTAGGCCTGCGAGTCGGTCTAGCGGCTCCTCGGTTGCCGTCGCCACCCTGTCGCCGCCTCGTCGCCGACCGTCGTCTGGGCCTGCGCGTCGGTCCAGCGACTCCATGGCCGCCGTCGCTGCCTGGTCGCCGCGCCACATAGAATCTCTTTCCTTCGAAGACTGAAGGATCTCCCACCACCACTCCCGGCATTCTCAGCACCCTTTGGGACGGTGCAATCTACGAGTGGTTATGCCCCATCGTTCATCTTGAATATGAACCCATACCATTCCAGCCAGACCCTGTATCGCCCCCTCGTCCGGTAACATCATCATATGTGCCCACACCCGTTTAATTATCCCAAATCAGCAGTTTTCAATAATTCCTTGCAAACAAAAGTTGACGAAGCCGACGCGCGCGTCGTCGCGCGCGAACGCCAGAATTCCTCGAACACCGTCGTTTCCGTAAGGATTTCAAGGTCGATGTTCCCGAACACATATGACAATGGTTTTGCAACACGGTTTTTCAAACAGCACACTGTTCGCATTCATGCGAATTCTTGGGGAACCACACCAGTTTCTTCAAATGCGGCCAAACGGGCCTTTCCTGCGCGCATGTCGAAATCATTCGAACGGCCTTGCGCACTTACTTGCCAGGGGAACACGATTCCTGCTAAATCGTGCCAAGGAGACCAGTCGCGCGCGTCGGTCGCGCGCGCATGTCGAAATCTTTCCAAAGCCTTCACCATCGACGCGTGGACACCATCGTCATCGACGTGACCAGCATCGGCACCGTCATTGGCCTGCGTCGTCATCGTCATACTCGTCACAAGCATCGTCACCATCATCATCGTTTCCGCCGTTGTCGACGTCACTGTCGACGTCCCAATGATGCTGCGCCCGCCCGGGCCACCGAATTGCACTGAAGTGTGCGCGCGCGCCAGCGCGGCCTGTGAGACGCCAGCGCCACCACGGCCGCGTTGGACGCGCCGAACTAGCTGGCCGCGGTGCGCGCGAGCATACGCGCGCCAGCGCGGCCCCAGAGATGTGCCAGCCAGCGCCGAGCAGCCATCGCAATCGCCGCCGCATGGGTTTTGCAAACCAAGCTGCGGGTGGGTGGGCGGGATGATTGCGAGAGCCGCCGACTTGGTAATTCCACGTTCTTCAAATTTGCTGCACCACATCGATTGCTCCACATAGGTTACACAACATCGACCGCACACCCTAAATTGCACAACACAAATTGTTTCACACAGGTTTCACTACATACCGTCTCTTTCCTAATGGACCAACCGGATCTCCCCCTCCCCCTGGACTCAACGGGTTTCTTTCTTGCGCTTTGCAATGTGCGCATGATTCTGCTCCATTGTCCATCCTAGATATGAAGGCGTGGCATCTGATCCAAACCGGCACCGCTCCCCCATCCCCTGGAAAAAACCATGCCCCCCCCCGGGTTCCACGAGTCCCTTGCGAAAAAAAGCGAATTGCACACGCACGCGTCGTCGAGCGCGCCTGTCGAAATCTCTCAAACATTTTTGTTCGCCAGGATTGCAACTCGAGTGTTCCGAAAACGTATAGAGAACACGTGGTTTCGGAACGAGAAGTTTCAAAAACAGCCTGCGCCCGCGCTCTTGCGAATTTGTAAGGCAACCATCGTTGTTTCTTTTTTCCCAAAATGTCACCTACATGCCACCAAGCGGGCGGGTTTGTCGCGCGCGCACGTCGGACTCGCAAAACCGCTTTTGCGTGCGTGTTGTCGCAAGGACCCCTTGCAAACAACGGGACGAATTGCACGCGCGCGTCGTCGCGCGCGCATGCCGAATCAATCAAACACCTACGGTGTCGCAAGGATTTCAAACTTGAGTGTCCCGAAACCAGTTTCAAACACATAGCTTTGCAACATCAGGTTTCTCATAAAAAGCTTGGGATCGCGGCCTAGCGAATAATTAAAGCACAGTGGTTTTCTAATTATTCATTAAATTATGCCACAGGGGCCTCTCGCACCGCATGTCGACATCATTCGCACGCCCTCGCACGCGTGCTGGGGAGGGGCACGATACGTGTCACATAATACCATGCGGGCCTCTCTCGCGCGTCGTCCGCGTGCGTATGTCCAACGCTTTCCAAAAAACATGCATCACCGACTCGACGACGCCGTCATCGTCGTCGGCGTGATCAGCATCGGCGCCGTCACTGGCCGTGCCGTCGTCGCTGTCATCATCGCCACCAGCATCGTTACTATCATCATCGCGTCTACCGTTGTCGACTTTGCCACGACACCGCGCCCGCCCAACTCGCCGATTCGCAGTGAAGTGCCCGCTGGGAAGTACCCAGCGGTCAGCGCCACCGCGGCCGCGTCGGTCGCGCCAAACTAGCTGGCAGCTGCGCGCGCGAGCATGCGCGCTAGCGCGGCCGCGGCGATGCGCCAACCAGCGCCGAGCAGGCATCGCAATCGCCGCCGCGTGGATTTTGCAAACCAACTTGCGGGTGGGTGGGTAGGATGATTGCGCGAGCAGTGGAGTTGACAAATTCAAATTCGGCAGGGCGAATCTCACCACATAGATTGGCCCACGTAGATTGCAGAGCATTTTCGGCTTGAGACACACAGCTTGGGGCCTGCGCTGGCTAGCATACTTCTCTCTGGCCCTGCCCCACCTCTCTCTAGCTGTTGCGCGCCGAGGGGGGGGGGGGGGAAGAGAGTGGGGCCAGCCCTTCTCAGAAAGCGGCGAGTCTTCACAGAAGCCCCTCGCCCTTCTGAGGAGTCCACATGTGGGTTCGGAGAAGGTTCCTTTCAGACGACCGGAAGCCTTCTGAGCCTTCTTCGAAGGCCCGCCCCCTCTGCCTTCCCCGTGGGCGCGCCGCCGACTCCGGCCCTCCGGACACGGGCTGGCAAAAATGCCCCGATGCCGCTGCGCCCCGGACTTCTCCTTGGGGGCATCCCCGCCAGATTTTCGAGGAGAGTGCAGCCGTGGCGACCCCCCAGCAAGGAGCAGCGGTAGCGCCATCTGTTCTTCCTCCGAGGACATCCGACTTTTGGACCGCCCCGCTCGGCCCGGCTCGACGGCCGCACACTTCGACTCTGCTCGGCCGCGCCCGCCTCCCCGCGCCGCTCGCCCTCCCTGCACGCCCGTCGTGCCTCGTGCCGTCGGCTCGGCCTGCCAGCCTGAATCATACAGCCGGACCGAGAGGTCAGCTCGCGGAGGGTACCCTCATATTCCTCGTGCCTGTTGGATGCTCTCGTGCATCCTGGGGAGGGTGCCCCTTGGATGTTCTGTCTGCCTTGGCCGACCGAGGGTCTCATGCTCTCGAGGGATGTTCTTTGGGCCTGCACCCTAGGCGATGCTTAAGAAAACTTAAGTTTTCGGCCAGAGTCTCGATTATTCTTAACGTTTCCATGTAAATCTTAAGAGTTTGATAGACATGTTGGGTTTTTTTACTAAAGTTCTGAGACTATGAATTTCTTTGCCCATGATTTCTTAAGCATTTCGCAGGGTGTAGGCCCGCCTGTACCACTGCACCAGAGATTGGCAGCACCTCTTCACGGTCGGGAGCGCCTGTGCCCAGCGCGTCGCGCCGCCGGGTTCCGGCCCGCCACGCTTCGGCGCGAGACGCGAGGCACGCCCCAGCTCCGAGCTCTCCCCGGCCTCCCGTCCCGCGAGGCGGAGCGGCACACTGTCAGCTTGCAGGGCGTTGCGTGTCGCTGGGGACACGCTAAGCAGAGGATTCTGAACGTGTCCTGGTGCAGATCTTGAGGGTTCCCCCGGGCTTCTGAGGGCACATCCCTGAGATTGTCATCGCCGGGGGCTCGTCAATCTCAGGAGCAGGGATTCTGGGGCGGCCTAACCGACCCCAGCGAACCATCCCCTTCCGTGACGTCCTCCTCGCCTCGCCCCAAGACGTATGTATGCGGCCAGAGGGAAGCTTGAAAGACGAGGAGGACGTCACGGAAGGGGATGGTTTCCCAGGGGTCGGTTAGGCCGCGCCCGAGGGATTGGATCGAGGCCTGTTGTCGGCGCGGCTCGGTCGCAGCGGTGCGGTCGGCCCGCCCGTGCGGCGCGGTGTCGGCCCAAAGGAGTTCGGGGTCGGGGGCTTCGACTGCGCGAGCCCCGCTGAGATGGACCTCGCGATTGGCGCCGGGGCGGACGCCGCCCGCCAGATCGTGTACGCCAACCCGTGCAAGCAGGGCTCCGCGGTCGAGTACGCCAGGTCCGCGGGCGTGCGGTGGGTGGTCTTCGACAACGCCGCCGAGCTGGTGAAGCTCGGGGACCTCTACCCCGGGGCCGAGCTGCTGATCCGGGTGCAGACGGACGACAGCCTGGCCCAGTGCCCCCTGTCCAACAAGTTCGGGGCGGCGGTGGAGGACGCGGGGGCCCTCCTGGAGCAGGCCAGGGACCTGGGGCTCCGGGTCGTGGGCGTCAGCTTCCACGTGGGCTCGGGCTGCTCCCAGGTCGGCGCCTTCCGGAGCGCGCTGCAGCGGGCCAGGGCCGTGTTCGACGAAGCGGCGCGAGTGGGCTTCGAGCCGAAAGTCCTCGACATCGGCGGGGGCTTCCCCGGGTGGGACGAGGCCGGCGAGGCCACTTTCGAGGACCACGCCAGGGACATCTCCGAGGTCTTGGAGGACAAGTTCGGGGCCGAGGTGCGCGTGATCGCCGAGCCAGGCCGCTTCTTCGCCGCATCGGTGCAGGCCCTGGTCGCCACCGTCGTGTCGGTCGCCAGCTCGCAGCAGGGCTTCCGGTATTACCTCAATGACGGCGTTTACGGCTCGTTCAACTCCCTCATCTACGATCACGCCAGGGTGCCCGACCCGGTCATCTTCAGGTGGGCATCTAAATCTGCACCACCACTGTCACCGCCAATACCGCCAGCGGGTTGCTCGCTCCCTCCGGATCTGGGCGGGGTCGGAAAGCAGTCGCCACAACCCAATACTTACCGGTAGAGTGGATCGAGTGTCATGTGCTCGCGTTGAGCTCTGCAGAGCAATCTCTGACGACGCCGTGGCGACGATTCATGCGGCAAGCGGCGTGCCAGTAAACAAAGCAGCAGGTGGGTTTCAGCCTCCCTTTGCGAGGGCAGTATGTGGACCCCCTCGCATCACACTCTCCCTTCGGTCTCCCCGGCCTCCCCTGGTGATTACCCGACGTCGTGCGGAAGTCGCGCCACGTCGAGTAAGAAATGCCTGGAGCCATCTGCTCCGTCTCCACGTGGTATCTCTCGTGCAGGATCGGTCCGTGAGCGCCCCAGGGCCCGAGCCTGGGGCGGGAATGCCAGTCATGGGTTTTCCGCCACGCTCGGAATCCATGCCCCTGGTCTCCTGAAAGTCTCCGAAGTCCAGTTCTCAGTTGTACCACCCAAGCTGCCACTCAGACGATTACTGCTGTTACTGCTGCTGCTGCTGCTGCTGCTGCTAGTGTTACTGGTGCTGCTTCTACTTCGGTCCAGGTCGTCTTTTCTTATCGTGTCGCGCTGCCAGCTCTGGCCCACCATTAAGTCGGGCCTGTCCCTCTACAGGGGGAAGATTCAAACATAGTCAAACATTGCCTGGGGACTATTTTCTGAATATTGTTTGACAGGTTTGGAGTATTGTCTGAGTATTTTTCACTTTTCGTCGAAAATCCCCCTGTAGGGGGACAT